CACCTGAGGCTTTTGGTCTTTTGCTGTTTGACAGATTTGTTGCAGTAAGTTTTTATTATTATTATTTTTTATTCTTTTTGGATCTTTTTGGATCTTTTCGGATCTTTTCTTCGACTCTTTTGGTTTATTTTTGTTTCCTTTTTGTTTCTTTGTCTCTTTGTGTTTCTTTTTGTCTTTTTTATCTTCTTTTTTTGCTTTTTCCCTTTTTTTTTAATTTGGCTGTTTGAGTCTCCTTTTGTATTATTTTCGAACTCTTTGTTTTTTTCTTCTTATTTTCTTCTTTTTCTGCCCATCTTTATTTCTTTTTTGCCTCTTCTGTGCTTCCTTTCTCTCTGCTGCTGCTGCTGCTGCTGCTGCGTCTTGCGGAGTGCCCCTCGGGGTGTGCATACACCCGAAGCTGCAGATACACCCGAAGCTGCAGATATACCTGGAGCTGCAGATACCCCCGGAGCTGTCGATACACCCGGAGGTGCAGAGACACCGCGGGAGTCTGTGGGGCTGCATGCGCATGCACAAACGCACGCATCTGTGGGGCCCGACGGAATAAGCCTCTCAACAGCCCCCACTCTCCACTTGCGGCGCACTATGCGCAGCGCAGCAAGCGGCAGCGGGCTCTCTGCTGCTGCTGCTGCTGCTGCTGCTGCTGCAGTCTGCGCCTTCGTCTTGGGCTGCGCGGCGCTGCTGCTCTCCCGGCCTCTGCCTTGTGGAAGCTGCTCGCGGCTGCTGCAGCTGGGGGCCCCCTGGGGGCCCCTGGAAGGGCCCCCCTGGGGCCCGCCTTTGGGGGCCCCCCGGGGGGCCCCCTGGGGGGCCCCCGGGGGGGGGCCCGCGGGGGCCCCCGGGGGGGCCCCCAGCTGCACTGGCCGCAATATGTGCCCCTCAAAGGCAATGCGGCAGCCACAATTTGGGGTTTCTATTTCGAGGCGAGAACCCAAAAAGATGCTTTCAATTGGAGCCTAAAAAGCAATTAAAAGGTTTGCAAAATGACCCAAATGCATCTCAAATGTCTTCAGCAAAACCAGCAGTACCCAAATACCCTTGGGGGCCCCCCGGGAGCCCCCAGGGGCCCCCAAAGGGCCCCCAGGGGCCCATGAGGGCCCCCGAGGGGCACTCCGCAAGACGCAGCAGCAGCAGCAGCAGCAGCAGAGAGAAAGGAAGCACAGAAGAGGCAAAAAAGAAATAAAGATGGGCAGAAAAAGAAGAAAATAAGAAGAAAAAAACAAAGAGTTCGAAAATAATACAAAAGGAGACTCAAACAGCCAAATTAAAAAAAAAGGGAAAAAGCAAAAAAAGAAGATAAAAAAGACAAAAAGAAACACAAAGAGACAAAGAAACAAAAAGGAAACAAAAATAAACCAAAAGAGTCGAAGAAAAGATCCGAAAAGATCCAAAAAGATCCAAAAAGAATAAAAAATAATAATAATAAAAACTTACTGCAACAAATCTGTCAAACAGCAAAAGACCAAAAGCCTCAGGTGCCTCTTTGGTCAATTCCTTTATCTCTTCAAAAACCCCACAAAAGTCCACAGCAGCAGCAAAACCATTTTCTGTCTTTTTTGAACTTTTTAATTCTTTTAATTCTTTTAATTCTTTTGATTCCTTTTCTCCTTTCATTGTCTCCCTTCCATCTTCCGTCCTCTCTGGCTTCCGCAGAGCTTCTCGCTGCTCTGGGGGCCCCTCGGGGGCCTCCGGGGGGCCCCTAAAGAGGTGGAGGGTACCCATGGCTGTTTGGTGGCCAAATGTGCAGTGGAAAGTTTGTCGAGATTGCAGCTGCAGCAGCAGCACAGATTTTGTCTTTTTGCTTTTTATTTTTTCTTTTTGACTAGAGTTTTTTCTCTTTTATTTATTTGATTTGGTGCTGGCCAGCTAGCTGTTTTACTGTGTCTTTCCTAGCTAGCTAGCTGGCTGGCAGCTAGCTAGCTACCTAGCTAGCTAGCTAGCTCGGTGGAATAGCTAACTGGCTAGCTGACTAGCTAGCTAGCTAACTAGCTAGCTAGCTAATTATCTTGGTAGCTGACTAACTAGCTAGCTAGGTAAAGTGGCTAGGCAGGTGAAGTAGCTAGCGAGATGGCCAGCTAGCTAGCTAGAAACGTGAAATAGCTAGCTAGCTAGCTATCTAGCTAGCAAATTCGGTCGAATGTTAAATGGCTGGATAGCTAGATAGCTAGCTAGCTGGCTAGCCAGCTAAGTGGAACAGCTACCTAGCTAGCTGGCTAACTAGCTAACTAGGTGGAGCAGCTAGCTAGCTGGCTAGCAGCTAGCTAGCTAGCTAGCTAGCTAGCTAGCTAGATAGCTAGCTAGCTAGCTAGCTGACCGGCAAGGCGAAAATGGAGATTCTGCGTAGAAAGGCAACGCAGGCATTAAAGATGGGAGGAAAACGCCCGGGAGAAACCACAAGGCCCCGCTCCTGCATGCAACACCCACGAGCCCCACACCTGCTGCTGCTGCTGCTGCTGCTGCTGCTGCTGCTGCTGGTGATGCTGCTGCTGCTGGTGATGCTGGTGATGCTGCTGGTGTTTGCTGCTGGTGATGTTGCTGCTGGTGATGTCGCTGCTGCTGGTGATGTTGCTGCTGCTTGTCCTGCTTGGTGCTGCTGGTGCTGCTGCTGCCGCTGCTGCTGTTTTTGCTGCTCCTTCACTTGGACATATTCTTTCTCTTGTGTGTCTCCTTGTGTTAATTTGCTGCCGCTTTAATTGTTTCTTTTGTATTTTTATTTTTTCTTTTTTAGAATCTTTAATTATCACTTCTAAATTTCTTTTATTTCTTTTGTTTCATTTTGCCTTCTATTGTCTTTTATTATTCCAATTTAAATTCTTGTGTCTATTTCTTTCCATTTTATTTCAGTTTATTTATTTATTTTTATTTTATTTTATTCATTTATTTATTTTATTTTATTTTATTTTATTTATCTTAATTACTTTGGCTCTCACCAGTGCTGCTGCTGCTGCATGCGAAAGACAAAGAGCAGCTCTTTGTCCCTTTCTTGCTTCTGTCTCCTGTCTCTTAAATCTCTGAATTCCCTTCACGCGGCAGCTAGCAGCCGCAGCAGCAGCAGCAGCAGCAGCAGCAGCAGAAGCAGCAGGCAGCAGCACCACGCTGTCTCCCACGGCCACGCGCCCGCTCAAGACTGTCCCCGTCACAACAGTCCCTTTTCCTGAATAAAAATAAATAAATAATAAATAAAAAAATAAATAAATAAATAAATAAAATCAAATAAATAAATAAATGAACAAATAATATGAAGGGTTAAATGCATATGCGGATAAAAGAATGAAAAAGATAAGTGGCAGCATTACCAACTTATCCCTCTACAATCGTATGCATGCGTGCATGCACTGCATGCATGCACGCATGGATGCATTTTGGGGCTTTGCATGCAAAGATGCATGCATGCATGCATGCATGCATGCATGCGATTGCACAGTGGTAAGTTGATCTTTTGTGGGACCCCACCGCGAACAGGAAAGGCATGATCGAAGGAAAATAAAAGGGGAGAAGACAATTTATATTTTGCTTCTTTATTTGTTCCTTGCTGGCAGCAGCAGCAGCAGCGCATGCACTGCTGCCGCTGCAGCGCCTGCTGCAGCAGACACGGGGGGCCCCTGTGGGGCCCCACACTTTGGGATCCGATCCCAGGAGAAGCAGCAAACGGCGAAGGGGACAGCAGCACACTCTGCAGCGCCGCCTGGAAACCCTCAAGTCCCCAAGGGGCTGCTCCCCCCGCTGCAGCAGCAGCAGCAGCAGCAGCAG